TATGGCAATTAGGTATAACATAACAGAGAGATTTCTCCGAGGGATGGAAAGAAGGAACCAATTCCCTTGGACAGACACCTGGCCAAAGCAGGGACAGAGCAGACAGACGCTCACCTGCTCCTTCAAAACCAAATGCTGAGAACGGTTGACCTTAAGGACGGCTAAGAGAAAGGGATTATGAGAGACATTGGCTTTTGTTTCATGTTCTTCTTTTGAAGAAGCGTCAGCGATACGCGGGAAGTTCTTTAACTTCCCCAGTTAGTGTAATGTATTCAGAAGCTGCCCTGAATGCATTAAGATGAACGTGGAATCATCTCATAGGGAAGCTATGTTAAGCTTCGTCTTGGCCAGGGATTCGCGCCAAGACTAATGCGACCAATCACATTCAAACAGATGGGAAGCGGGAACGCTTGTGATTGGACTATATGCGCTCAACCTGATAGGTTGATATCTGTATAGGAGGTGTGGCTACATTAGCCCAGAATGTTTAAATACCGAGCAGCTGCAATGGAAAAGCTGTGCGCGCTATCGAATGTTGTACCGTGTTGGAGAAGTGATCATCGAGCTGAATAAACCTGAGTTTTTGCTGAAATCACTCTCTGACTATTTGTTAAGCACCAGACTTAACAGTTAGCGAACGTGCGGGAACCTGGTTTGTGAAGAGTCGGGATTTGACCTCATCTGAGAAGAAAATTTTGATGTAATTCAGTCTTGGGACGATTTATGCTGGACTTCCATTACACAAGCAATTTCTGCAAACTTCTCTTTTTGTGAAGGTTGGTGGTTCTATGTTCAGGTAGATGGAGGTGTGATGTCATAATCTGTTGCTATTGTGTGTTTGTTCAAAATTATTGGCATTATTCCATATTTATATAAAAGATATTAAGTGTGTCAAATTGTTTTGATATTTATTTATACACAGGGTTTTTTTGGGGGGGGGTCGGATCATTTACTGTGTATCTCCTACTTGTGTGGTTTCAGAGTGACACAACCGACAGGTTGCTGAGACTTTTGGCACAGAGAACTTTGGAAGCTGGTTTGAAATCCTCACCCAGGTATGAACATTTATGCTGGGCTGGTTCTGAGTCGCTCTAATACCTTTCAGCATAACCTTCCTTATGAGGCTGTTACACGGAGGTCGATGGCCCTAAGCTGCTTCGAGGAACTGGGTGGAGGGCAGGGGGTCCCCAACCTTTTCCAGCCTATGGGCGCCTTTGGAGTTCTGACACTGTGTGGTGAGCGCAGCCACAAAATGGCTGCCGCAGGAGCTGGAGACAGCCACAAAATGGCTGCCACGGCTTACTTTCAGCTGTATGTTGGTTTTAAATTGTTTGTAAGCCGCCCTGAGACGCTTTGGCGAGGTAGAAATTTAATAAATTAATAAATTAATAAATATTGTACGGGGAAGATACTTGTGCTGTGGTTGGTAGCTGCTGCCAAAGCAAGTTTTGAAAAGAATCTGCACAGCCAATCCAAATTTCCAACGGCCAATCAGCAGCCTTGTGGGGAAAAAGCCCCCCCCCCCGGGTCCCGTCCACTTTCTAAAAACATTTGGTGGCCACCAGGAAAAGTGTCAGTGGGCCCAATAACACCCACGGGCACCACACTGGGGACCCCCTGGGGGGCAGTGTTTTCTCAAAGCTGAGTTAGTGTGAGCTAGCTCACAGTTTTTTTGCCTCCGGCTCACAGATTTTTGTCTTCGCTCAGGAAGGATGGCTCCAGAGCAAACTAATTTATGCAGCAGCCAAATTGCTCACTCATAACTTTAATGCCAGCAGCTCACAAAGTCGAATCTTTGCTGACAGGATTCCACAGCTTGGAGGGAGCATTGGTGGCAGGCCCGTAGCCAGGATTTTTTTTAGGTGGGGGGGCGTTTAAATTTCTTAAGGGGCAGCGGCTAATCAATGTAATCTGGGGGAGAAGGCCGTGACGCCCTGGGCTGGATGGGAAGTCAGGAGGCCTTGCCAGCAAGTCGGGGGGCCTAACCCCCAGAGGCCCCACTGTAGCTACGGGCCTGATTGGTGGGGGGACCAATGGGATAAATAAGTGAAATGCAACATCATTCAAAAGAAAAAAGAGTAGATGGACAGGACAGGAAAGCGGCATAGGAAAAATGAACATTCTCGCAACAAAAAAAGCATACTTCACTTAAAAAAAAAGAAGAAACTCCATGGTGTTTGTAATACACTCCGCTCCGAAGCTGATGGATTCCAGCACAGGGATCTGTTTTGTTATTGTTAATAACGCTCTAGGACTACCCCACAGATTATTCCTTATTAATAAAAGTCTCGCATTGATTTGATTGGCCCCACCAAGCATGAAATGCCACCTGACAGCTGGTGTCTTGTCTCAAATACTTTTCCCCCCTTGCGGAACTTGGCTTAGGTTCTTTTTTGAGTGTGCGTTTTCCCTTGGAAACCCCCTCACCTGTTCCTTCAGCCATCCCCTCTCATCCCAGAGACAGACGTTATTCTCCCAGAGCATCTGACAGTAAAACGGTGAGTACCGAGAGGCGCTTCCTGAGGCGCTCGTTTCCCTTGACTTCCTCCAGAAGGAAAGAGCAAGCGGAACGAATTCCTGAAACCCATCACAAATGCAGGCCAGGGGTTTTCTCTATTTAGCAATTCTCATAAAGGAGAGAACAAAACGAGAGTCCCCCCCCCATGACACCTTGAAACAGGGTTGCCAACCTCCAGGTGGGGCACGGAGGTCTCCTGGAATTATAACTCATCTGCAGACGACAGAGGTCAGTTCGCCTGGAGCAAATGGCTGTTTTGGTGGGGGGACTCAACGGCAGGAGGACCACTGAGGGGCCCCCTCCCCAGGCTCCACCCCCAAAACTCCAGGAATTCTCCAACCTTAAAGATCCACAACATTTCCCAGGGTCTAAGCTTTGGTGAGGAGCTGCGGTGGCTCAAGTGGTTAAGACGCTGAACTGCAGGCTGTGGAAGGCCGGTAGTTCAGCAGTTCGAGACCCGAGTGTGCCGCATGACGGAGTGAGCTCCCGTCTCTAGTTCCAGCTCCTGCCAACCTAGCAGTTCGAAAGCAAGAGATTGCAAGTAGATAAATAGGTACCACTTTGGTGGGAAGGTAACAGCGTTCCGTGCGCCTTGGTGTTTAGTCATGCCGGCCACATGACCACTGAAATGTTTTCGGACAGCGCTGGCTCTTCGGCTTTGAAACGGAGATGAGTACCGCAACCCTAGAGTCGGATTCGACTGGCTTTCGAGCAAGGGGAACCTTTACCTTTACCTTTAAGCTTTGGTGAGTTGAAGCTTACTTCATCAAAGAAGGTATCAGACAAAGTGAACTTCCAATGCTCCCTCTAAGCTGTGGAGACTTGTGAGCAAAAATTCTGCTTTGTGAGCTACTGTAATTAAAGTTGTGAGTGAGCGATTTGGCTACTGCATAGACTAGTTTGCTCTGGAGCCATCCTTCCTGAGCTAAGACAAAAAGGTGTGAACCAGAGGCTAAAGAACTGTGAGCTAGCTCACACTCACTCAGCGTAGAGGGAACACTGGCTTTGACGGACAAAAGCTTAGTCCCCTGAAGTTTTTGTTGGTCTTGAAGGTGCTACTGGATTTAAGTTCCTATATGTAAGGGTCCATGTCCCGCCCCACCGGTGGGAAGCATTCAACCACCCTGCACTGCCCAAGTGGTTTTATCAATTCATAAACAGCTCATGTGAGCTAGGACTGCACAACTTTCACGTCAGGATGCTTTGATGACCATGGTGGTGATGTATGGAACTCACATCCACCTCCGTCTCATCCCCTTCCCTTGTATGGTTCCCTTTCAATAGAATTCCCAGTTTGACTTCCCTTCAAATACCAGAGGGAGTGAAATGTGACTCATGAAACTAAATGTTGTGAGTCTTCCAAGGTGCCACCGGACTTTTCTTCTATTCAACAGTAGTGTGTGCCAACCTCAAAACTTCTCCATGTCCCAGTGTCGCTTTGGAATGAAACTGTGAATCATCCTAATGTGGGCCCAGCAATGGACTGGAATCAGGAGCTACTAGTCTGGTGTAGGGGTTAGGAGCGCGGACTCTAATCTGGGAGAACCAAGTTTGATTCCCCACTCCTCCACATGCAGCTGCTGGTGTGGCCTTGGGGCAGTCATAAGTTCTTTCAGAGCTGTTCTCTCATGAGCAGTTCTTGAAAGAGCTCTCTCAGCCCCACGTACCTCACAGGGTGTCTGTTGTGGAGAGGGGAAGGGAAAGGAAACTGTAAGCCACTCTGAGACTCCAAGTGAAGGGTGGGGTATAAAGCCATTCTTCTTCTTCTCCTTTTTCTTCTCCTCCTCCTCCTCACGAAAAACACAAAGGCTGCTGAAGTGCATCTTTATAATGGGGGTGAGTCTGGCTATATAGACTGCTCCACTCTCCCCCACCTTCAAGGTAGCTACGTTCTGTGCCTTGGCATGCTTCATCAGGCAGGAGAATACGGTCTTGTTTTTAACAAATTTTATTCTGGCATATGTATATTTTTGTTTAGAGTATCCGTGACACACAACTAAAGTGTATATGTTTTGTTGATGACCTTGGCTTCTGATCTTAGTTCGTAATAGACTACTGAAGACCGCTCCATGCTGTCACTGTGAGCCACAGGATGGAGAAAACTGCACAAGAGTGGCCCAGCCGCATGAGCATGACGGGCAGTCGCAACAGAGACACATTGCCAAGCAACCGACCCACTGAGCAGCAGCCGCCCAATGGCAACCAACACCTGCTTGAGACAAAGTGGGCCTAAGACCCCAAACAACACACACACAAACATACACACGCCAGAAGGGGCCCGACCTTCCTCGTATAGACCATTGTCTGCATTTGCGATTGGCGCCATCCAAGCTGGCTATATGGCCCGACGCACTCCATAGCAACCCCCCCAGGACAGACCTTTCCAACTTGCCTCTCCTGCTGCAAGCAAACAAATGAGTTTTGCTTCCTAGAATTAAAAAGAAAGGAAGAAATGCTATAGATTAGATGTGTGTTTACATACCCATACAGTTCTCCAGGGAACTGTCGGTGCCTATTCGGACATCATCGATGGCAATCTCTCCTGAATGTCCTTCGCCTATAATTCCCTCAAACACAATCTAGGAGCAAACAAGAACAGCGAGTGTTAAAAGATTTTGGTCCCCAAACAAGCCCTTGCATCCTTCAAAGAAAGGCAAAGATAGCGAGAGGTTTCATCATTATTCAGGGATCTCTCTCAAAGCGGCAACGGAAACCGTATCGCAAAAGAAACACTTGAACTCTTCCGCACAAAACTCGCCAATGCAAAACTCCCCCACCTGTTCCTCATAGGGCTGCCAGGTCCCCCAGGGGGGCAGGGGTTTGCCCACTCAAAGGGCCCCTGACCTACTGGCCTGGATCCGGCCAGCGAGGGAACCCTGCCCCTAAAGTGCCCAGATTGGGCTGATGCGCCCCGCATGGTAATGTCACCCAGAGGTGACATCATTGTGCTGGGCACGTCACTGGGGGGACGCTCTAGCATTCGGCCTGAACACTCTATGGTATCATAGAGTTTTCAAGCCGGATGCTAGAGCGGCCACCGGCCACATTCCTAGCATGATGATGTCACTTCCGGGTGATGTCATCATGGTGAATGTCCTGGACCGGGACCTACTCCCCCCCCCACTGCAACCGGTAAGCGACCTGGCAACCCTACTTCCTCAGCAGCCTAGCACTGCTTTTGTGTCCACCTCCCCTCGCCCCTTGGAAGCTACTTATGAGGAAGGAAAGACAAAACGACGTAGTGACCTTTGTTCAGCACTCCCAGGTGGGCACAGAAGTGGTAGAAAAATCACGATTGGCGGTCTGTATGCAACTGCGGCTTGCTTGTTCCCCCCCCCCCCCCAGAGATATGGAGGAAAAGGCATACGGCACGACAAATTTTGCATCGATCTTCCAATGTATCACCAGACACGGAATGCAACGTGTCGCTCCACATCCCACACATTGGCTTGGTCCTGAAGAGCCAGCAATATGCACCACAAACCTTCCACGCGGATTTAGGAAGGATAAAGGGAGAAAATAAACCTTTGCTGTTGGTTGCAGTGTTAACCTTCGCGGGACATTCTGGTTCTCCTACCCAGGTCACATGGGGATATCACAAGGCCACGGGGGCTTTCCATTGAGTTTTGGGCAGCTGACAAGGCTCCCCCGTTAAATAAACAATAGCAGCCGCTAGCTCCCTTTGGGACACTTGGGACTGGTCCCCCCTTCCACAGCTGCTGTTGTCCTGAGAGACACGACAATATGCCAAGGTCTTGACTCAGGACTTTCGTGGATGGACCTGGGCAATTCAGGAAGAACTCCAAGGGCAGTAGGGCTACCAATTCTGGGTTGGGAGGTACCTGGAGCCTTTGAGGGTGGAGCCTAGGGTGGGCGGGGTTTGTGGAAGGGGGAGGACTGCAATGGCGGAGAGGACGGACTTCAATGGCGTATGATGCCATACAGTCCACCTTCTAAAGAGGCATCTTCTCCAGGTGAACTGATCTCTGTCCCCTGGAGGTCAGTTGTAATACCAGGAGATCTCCAGCCACCACCTGGAGGCTGGGAACCCTCGAGGGAAGACAGATTAAGAACATCTCTCCTGGGCCCCAGGCCATCCCTAACTATTTTCAATGACTACTGAGAAAGCAGTGTTGTTCGTACTCTATTCAAGACGCATCCGGATTCTCGCTGAAGGGAATGCAAATGCCTCACAAAGAAGGAAAAAACAAAATGAAACAGGTTCATGCTCCAGCTAAATTAGGCAACTCACTGCCCTGCGTGCAAATATCCTTGTCAGCTTTAATTTGCATGCTCTCTTTGAAACCCAATATTGGAGGGTTTTGCAGGATTTTCCAAGAAGCATTAATACGGAGACCAGAAACAGAAGCGGGAGGGGAACATGAGCAGACAGCCACGCAAGGCACAACCCACCCCACAATGTGCAGGCACTTCCTGCATGTCATCTAAACTCATCTCCCAATTACAGACTGACACTGGATCAACAATAATTCATTCCTCTTTCCCGAGGATAGTTCTTAGAGAGATCTCTGAGCAATAAGGACCTTTAACTGTATTCTCAGCACCTTAACAATTTCTAGGATCCTTTGTGGGGAGGGAAGGAGGGAGGGAGGGAGGGAGGGGAGGAACGAATGGATATAAGTTTTGCAGCGTGGGTAGTGCTAGATGCAATCTGAACACCAGGAGCGCTTTTCTTTCTCAATAAAAGAGGAGAGATCCTTGGGAACTCAATTTCTGGGACTGCAATATAACTCTGTAGATGTGTATGATTCCTCCTTCCTAGTTATTGATCTATATTGGACTTTCTGAGCACTGAATCCACTTTGGGAGCAAATTGTTTTGCCTGCCCACTCCCCAGTTAAGGAAGTCCTTCTTCTTTCTTTCTTTTTTTACCTCTCCTACAAATACAATTAGAAAGAGAGAGAGAGAGAGAGAGAGAGAGAGAGAGAGAAAGAAAGAAAGAAAGAAAGAAAGAAAGAAAGAAAGAAAGAAAGAAAGAAAGAAAGAAAGAAAGAAAGAAAGAAAGAAAGAAAGAAAGAAGTTATTGGACTTATATCCCACCCTTCACAACCCGAAGGCGTCTCAGAGCGGCTTACAATCCCTTTTCCTTCCCCTCCCCACAACAGACACCCTGTGAGGTAGGTGGGGCTGAGAGAGCTCTTTCAAGAACTGCTCCTAAGAGAACAGCTCTGAAAGAACTTGTGACTGACCCAAGGTCACACCAGCAGCTGCATGTGGAGGAGTGGGGAATCAAACCTGGTTCTCCCAGATTAGAGTCTGTGCTCCTAAACACTACACGAAAGAAAGAAAGAGAGAGAGGGAGGGAGGGAGTGAGACTGAGAGATGAACTCTTGTTCCCTGCCTGTCTAGTTGTGAGAAGGGTTTGGTGTTTGTCCCTTATGGGGCTTGCATCTTCTCGTCAGACTACCCGATACTTGTCTGAGAAAATGGGAAGGGGGAAAAAAAATATTTGCAAAAGAAGAGGCTTTAGGAATACAAAAAGGCAACAGGAGGAACAAAGACCCACATCTATGCATAAAGTAGGCAAATTCTGAACAACAAAACACAGTGTCATTTAGTTTCTATAGCAACATGGGAAACACAATGAAGCAGAAGGAGGAAAAAAGCCCTGCTCTACAATGTTCAGCAATGATGAATGGAACAGGGTGTGTTGACTGGCATCCACGGCAGTCTTCAAGCGGCTCCTCCTCGTGACAAGATTACCTGATACTCCATGTCGTAGCTCCGCAGCAGGATCCGGCCCTCTCTCCACTCATCCCCATGGTCTTCCCTGATGACCCACAACGGCTTGTTCTCCTGAATCGCTTCCCGCCACACCCGGAGCGTCGTCCCCATCCCGCCGGAAAGCTGGTAGCGGAACACCATGCACAAAGTGCTCCGGGGCGAGAAGACCACCGGGCTGACCAGGCGGGCGTGCTGCCCTTCCCTTCTCACACTGCTCTGCAGCCTCAGGTAGTGCCTGCCATCTGCGGGAGGAGAAGGTTAGTCCAGAGTCAGTATCTGCAATGAGTGGAGCAGCGTCCTATTCTTGGTTCAAGCCGACCAGAAGTTCAGGTATAACAGGGAGCCCGACAGCCATTCCCATCCATAGCAACAATGCAGGAGTGCAGGTAACTCAGAACCCGTTTGGTGGATAAGGAGGCGCTGCTCTCTTTGATCAAATTCTAGGAGCAACACTTGGAATTCACTGCCACAGGAAGTGGTGGCGGCTACAAGCATGGACGGCTTTAAAAGGGAATTGGATAAGCCTATGGAGCAGAGGTCCATCAGTGGCTATTAGCCACAAGGTATAGATAGGGACTCTGGGGCAAGTGATGCTCTGTCATCTTGGTGCTTGGGGGGGTCAACAGTGTGAGGGTTTCTAATGTCCTGGCACCACTGGTGGACCTCCTGATGGCACTGGTATTTCTGGCCACTGTGTGATACAGAGTGTTGGACCGGATGGGCCTTTGGCCTGATCCAACATTGGCATCTCTTATGTTCTTATGTTCAATCTACTATCTGAGGGACAATTCTGAATGGTATTCCAACGAAAGCACAGAGGGCATACAAGGCAAGCTGGGAGGGCATTTGTAGGAGAGCCAGTCTGGTGTAGTGGTTAGGAGCGCGGACCCTAATCCGGGAGAACCGGTTTTGATTCCCCACTCCTCCACATGCAGCTGCTGGTGTGACCTTGGGTCAGTCAGAAGTTATTTCAGAGCTGTTCTCTCACGGGCAGTTCTCAAAAGAGCTCTCTCAGCCCCACTTACCTCACAGGCAGTGTTCCCTCTAAGCTGAGTTAGTGTGAGCTAGCTCACAGTTCTTTAGCCTCCAGCTCACACATTTTCGTCTTGGCTCAGGAAGGATGGCTCCAGAGCAAACTAATTTATGCAGCAGCCAAATCGCTTGCTCACAACTTTAATGTCAGGAGCTTACAAAGTAGAATTCTTGCTCACAAGACTCCACGGCTGCGAGGGAGCATTGCTCATAGGGTGTCTGTCGTGGGGAGGGGAAGGGAAAGGAGATTTTAAGTCACTCTGAGACTCCTTTGGGTAGTGAAGGGCGGGGTATAAACCCAATCTCTTCTTCTTCTAGGGAAGGACCAGTCGGCAGGAAAGAATGCTTTAACCTGATCTCTCCCCCTCCCTAAGCTAGGCTGTGAGATGTGTTGCAGGAGAAAATTAATGGGCAGAGCAAGAGTTAAACACTCTCCTGGCTAGTGATGTCCTGCAAATGCCTGCTTCCTGTAAGCGATCCAGGAACGTGTTTAAACATGCATTTCACAAGGTAACTTATATTATAGTTATACTCTGACACTCATTCCCCCCCCCCGAAAGTTTCCTGTCCTCAGCCGGTTGTGGAGGCACATCAGAGTAACCTCCACACCAACCAAGGGGCAGCCTGTATCAAATGTGTCTTGGCAGGATCGGCTTGGTGCTCTTCTAGGTTTTAAGCTCTAAAAATTACCTCCACAAAAAAAGAGACGGGGTCGACAAATTTTCCATGTTCATCCATGGCAACAATCACCTGTTCTCAAGAACTCGTGCAACCCCAAAGGCTCTGTCTTATCCTGCTCCTTAATTTTCATCTGGCTTTTTTTAAAGAAATGAGGCGGAGATGTCTGAGTTACAACGAGTTGTGTATAAGTGGGGATTTTAGCAGAGGAAGCCAGTCAAGTTGCGGACAGGAAAAAACCCAACCCTGCCGTTGCTGAAATTCCTTCTCCTGAACATCTGTGAAATACATGGGAATGTGGTCTTCTCTGGCATCTGGACGGCCTACCCGTCCATCTCTGCTAGCAGCTGCCTCCAGCTCCTTTACCCAAATGCTGAACGCCAACAAGAAGCCTGGTGAATTTCATCCTGCAAATTGGTATTACCGGCTTCGGGCCTTCTTGCCTATCAACAGGCTGACCTTCCGGCCAGAGGCCATGTCCTACGGGGAGTAGGCTTGCCAAGTCCCCCCGAGGGATGGGGAAACCCCCGCCCCAGAGGCCCGTTCCCCGCCGGCGGCGGATCGGGCCCAGGGGGAACCCCACCCCCAAAGCACGCGACATGCACGTCACCTGGAAGTGACGCAGGTATGCCGGGGGTGGGGCCACAGTCATCCGAGGGAAAACTCTATGGTTTTCCCTCAGATGGTCGTGGCCCTGCCCCCAGTGTGCCCGGCGTGGTCGCGTCACTTCCAGGTTGCGGCACGCACACTTCCAGGGAGGGGGGTTGCGGCACGCACACTCCCGAAGCAGCGCTGGAGTCCCCCGCTCCAGCGCCGCTTCTGACTTGGCAACCCTAACGGGGAGGGTTACCAGCTCGGGTTTGGGAAATACCTGGAGATTTTGGGGGCGGAGCCTGAAGAGGGACTTCAAGCAGGGTACAATGCCCAAGAGCCCACCCTCCAAAGCAGCTGTTTTCTCCCGGGGAACTGATTTTGAATGTCTAGAGACCAACTCTCATAGTGGGAGACTCTACCTCCAAGGCTGTCTAGCTTTTCACCTGAATAGAGAATCCCTCACAGTAGAGTAGGATTGCCCACTTTTTAAAAACAGTTCCAGGTCGGTAGCCATGCAGTAGCAGAGCTGGCTTTAAGTGTCACAGCAGCACCTTAAAGAACAGTAAGATTTTGAGGGAATAAAAAGTGATTCACACATGGAATTCACTGCCACAGGAGGTGGTGGCAGCTACAAGCATGGACAGCTTCAGGAGGGAATTGGATAAACATATGGAGCAGAGGTCCATCAGGGGCTATTAGCCACAAGGTATAGATAGGGACTCTCGGTTTGGGACAGGTGATGCTCTGTCTTCTTGGTGCTTGGGGGGGGGGGCAACAGTGGGAGATCGTCTAGTGTCCTGGCTCACTGCTAGATCTCCTGATGGCACCTGGTGTTTTTGGCCACTGTGTGACATGGAGTGATGGACTGGATGGGCCCTTGGCCTGATCCAACAGTGGCTTCTCTTATGTTCTTATGTTCTCTTATGCCTATACCATGGAAATCTTGGGCTCTTCTGCATGGTCATTTTTGTCATTCCTTTGTCCCTATTGCTTTGGGTCCCCCCCCCCCTTCTCCACATGTGTTTTGCTCCCTCTGGGACTACTAGAGAGAGGAAAACACATTGGGGGACGACAACCCTAAAGCAATAGGGACAAAGGAGTGACAAAACTTTGTTGGTCATTAAGGTGCTACTGGACTTGAATCTTGCGCTTTTTAAACAGCATTGCTTCTGCCCATCTAACAGGGGCACAGGAAGCAGAAATTCAGCTTGTGAAGCTTTCCCCATTGCACGCTGGGGAGAAAACATCTGCTAAATTTCTATTTATACTGCTGATGCTAAACACATGGGAAGACAATGGGCTGGAGAGATCTTACCTACCAAAGAGCTAGCTGAAAGGGGGAGAAAAATGTAAAGTTGGATCCAACCAGTTTTCCCGCCGGTGAAAAAAGGGGTATCCCTCAAGAAGAAGAGATTGGATTTATACCCCGCCCTTCACTCGGAGTCTCAGAGCGGCTTACAAACTCCTTCCCCTTCCCCTCCCCACAACAGACACCCTGTGAGGTCAGTGGGGCTGAGAGAGCTCTTTTGAGAACTTATGACTGACCCAAGGTCACACCAGCAGCTGCATGTGGAGGAGTGGGGTTTCCCCAGATTGGAGTCCGTGCACTTAACCACTACACCAAACCACCAGAAAGGACATGCTGGGGATCACGGGATGAGCACAGACGATAACCAGGTGGGGAAAGAAAAGACTGCTCCCATTTGCACAGAACGAGCCAAGCAACTAACATATGTCTGTGCTGTGCCACGCAAAAGCCGGTATTGGGATGCTACAGCTGGGAAGATAAATACCCACAGTGTGTAAAGAGAGAGACAGAGAGGGCGTTTCATCGACAGAGACAGCTCAGTAAGAAGGATGTCTATTTTACCAGCAGCTATAAGTATGGAAGTCTGCTGATTAAGACCCTGAAAAGCTCAAGGCGAAAGATTGACATAATTAGGACAAGTGAAAGTGCAGTAATCGTCGGTGGGGAGGGGGGAATTGACTCTGTAATCATGACGTGGGGGGTGGGGGCTCGTGTTCATTCTGTCTCAGACTTGCCCGGTTTACAAGTCAGAAGCCGATTCGGGCTCCTCCGCCCAGGCTCACGGCTTGCCAACATTACAACTTCTCTCCGGGCTGGGGGGAAGCAAGCTGATTGGAGGGGGGGTGTCTTCTCCTCCCCCCCCAGCCCACTTCTGCTCATCACTAGCAGCGAATACTTTGCAATCAGAACCTAGCTGACAATTTAGTTGATGATACGGGAGGCGGAATGGGGCTTATCATCATCAGCATCTCCTCGGTTCCTCTTTTCTCCTCCTCCCTCCTCCGTTAACAGGGATGATTGGCCCTCCGGCACAAACAGTGGGGTGAAGTTTGTTGCTGTCAGTGATCTAAGCAAAGGCGACCCAAATGCACGAAGCAGGTGTTTGGGAGATATATATATATATATATATGAGACAATAACAGAACACCACTAGTGGTCACATACAGCTTTCAGGTCAAAACGGTTCAACACAGGCATCATCAGTGACTTACAACCGCTCCTGGATAATGACAGTTCTCTTTCACAAGTACTTGAGGGGGGGGCAAACCTTTTCTTGCACACAGAGAGCCCCCCAATCTCAAGCGACTCCTCACTCACAATAATGCAACGTCTAATTTGAACATGGACACTGAAACCAGAGCTTGCATTAAACCCAGATGCCAACTTTGCTGCCAGATACACCCAGACAACATAATCACTGGTCCTAACAACATCAACTACACCGTCTTTTCAGTAGTGGCTCCGCACTGGTGGAATGAGCTCCCGGATGACATCAGGGCCCTGCGGGACCTCTTACAATTCTGCAGGGCCTGCAAGACGGAGCCCTTCCACCAGGCCTTCGAGTAGGGAGCCGCCCTAATAAATAAATCAAGACACTGCCCCCAAAATAACATCATTATTTACATGCGA